AATCGCTAAGGCAGAGAAGGGTAGAGGAATCTTTTGAATAAAATCAGCGATAATTCTGAGTTGTTTGCTCCATAGATTTAAGTGTTTAAGAAAACAAAAATCTTTTCTGGGATTATCCTGTTGACATTTCCATTTTTTGAGTTGCCACACTAGATTAGGGGCTACACTGTCAATCTTTGATTTTTGCCCACGATCATGGATTATTTTAGTTTCATCTCAACTGTGGGCTCCATGTTAGATCTGATAAAGCACTATCCTAATCTAGTTTTCAAATGTCTTCCTCATATTATCCATGCGTATTTTCTGTTTTTGAAAGCTTTTCCTTTGTCTGGTTCAATTTCAGGAGTTCATTGGCAAGACTGTGTCCCCCCACCCCATCCCCGGCCAATCTTTTTTTGAATATTATTTTCTTTCTTTGCTTGACAACAGATTTCTGAGGGAAAAGAGAGAGAGACAGAGACAGAGAGAGAGACAGAGAGACAGAGAGAGAGAGAGACAGAGAGAGAGAGAGAGAGAGAGAGAGAGAGAGAGAGACTATGTCCCCTGAAAAGTGCCCAATTTCTGTGTGTTTTATGGCATAGATATATTTTGTGAGCTTCATATGTACAGGCCATGATTTCTTTAAAGCAATTTGGAATTATTTTATGAGTACTTTTAACAAAGCCACAATAAGAAGCTGTATTATAATTTAAAAATAAAAACTATTATTATTTTGCCACCAGGGGAGTATAATAAAATTGTGCATATATTTCAAAAACAGTATCTATTGTGGTTTCCATTTGCAGAAAGTTTAATTTTAGAAGGTCAGCCTCAGTGTTATTTTAATCAAAGGATGGGAAGTCTTTTTGCTGTTTTTGTGTTATTCCATCATAAATAGGTATCATTTAGCATATGGGTCTGTTACAAAGCCACACCTATTTATAGGTGTCTATCCAATAGGACCCTGGCTTTTATGTTTAGTGATGCATCAGATAGGTAATAGTTCCTCTTAGACATTAAAAATGGAGACTCTTTCCTGTTCCACCGACATACATACTCAGTTTTTTCATTTTATGCATTGATGAGCTAATTTGGCAAGGCAGGTGATATGCAAGGACTTTGAGTCATGTTATTTCCTAAGGCAAGTGAAATAATAAATACTGAGCAAAGAAAGCTAATTTGTATTTGTAACATTTTAATATAGAAAATTTTTTCAAAATCAATATGAACCAATTGCTTTTTGCCAGATTTCTTTTATTACAATGATTAAAAATAACCCTGGTTCAAATTTCTTTTAGACTGTAACTCTCTTTTCTTGATTTGCTCAGATAAGAACTTAAAATACCGTTTATGGTATATCTTAGAAGTCTATACAGGACTTGATGCTTACTTATTTTTTCAGGTTTTTAATACATTTTAGACAAATACTACTGAGAGATTATGGAAAGGCCAGCAGATGAATCCAGAAATCTCTACATAGAATCAATTCTTTCTGCTTATTGAGTTGAGATACCAGTTTAGTTTTTTTTTGGTGGAAAAAGGAATTTTCTTGAAAGGAACATTTTGAGTTTATATATTTCTAATTGCAGAGCATATTTCCAATGAAAACAGTGGCAAGACTATAAACCCTGTTTTGCCTCAGGAATCAAATTTATCCAGAATTATGTTGAATCTGTTATTGTCAAACATTTGTATTAATTTTAAAGTAAAAATGCCAGGCTGATATATTTTTAAGAGTGCTTTGACATCCTTCCTGTAGACGTTTTCCCAGCCAGTGTTTTGGAGGTAGGGTTGCTTATGGAGGATGCACTCTTAGCCTCCACTACATTCTAAAAAGATTTTCTTCAGTGCTCTAGTGAAGTTAGAATTGAACAAAAGGAATATTTTACAGCTCAGAACTTCAGTTTCTAATTTCAGATGGTTGCTGTTAGCTGTTAACATCTTTTTTAACAAATAGAAAAGATTTTTTTTTTCTTTTTGTCTTTTTTACTGACTGGTAACGGGATCGCAACCCTCGGTGTTG